ATGACTAAAGTTCTATCATTAAATAATATTGATTATCATATTATAATGCTTGACTGACTTATATGACTGATGTTAAGTTAAAATATCTTTCAGATATTTATATAACTGCCATTTTACAAACACACACACACATACATACATATACATATATGTTTGTAAAATGGCACAGTTTTATAAATATCTGAAACTGTACTCTATATATATATATATTTATTTAATTATAATTTTTTTTATCAGTCTGGCGAGTAAACAAAAAACTTTACTAGCCAATGGCGATTCAAATGCCAAGGTGTCCGTAGAGGGCTGGTCTCAAGACCATTCAGATAAGCTCTCTTCTCTGCTCACTCAGGGTACCGCTGCGCTCACCTGCAGTCATGAATGCAGTGATGGACAGCTGTCTTTCCTCCGTCGACAGCTGTTTGAATTTCATGTGATCTCTCATTGTGGTGGTGATATTATGATGACTCAGTTTGACTGATTCATTTGATCAAAAGTAATTCCATTTTGTAAGATCATTTAGAAAGATAATTTTGATCAAAGTAATTCCAAACTTCGCGAGGCAGACAACGACATTCTGTGATCGAATACAATCGACTTGTTAACGCGCTCCACAGCGCCAACCAGTTCATTTAGTTATAACGGACTTTTAGTTTGCGTGCTTAGGATTTATCATGGATTCCCTGCATTTATGGCCAGCAAGGCAACAAGTAGTAAAATTCGAATAGTGTTTTTATTTTTCGAATAATAATTAGATTGAATATTTGACTATTTGTGCACACCCCTACTTTCAAGTGTGTGATACAACCATGTATAAAAACACATTCCCTTTGAATCTAGAGTTCATGATTCATGAAGTTGCTTGGTTGCGGTCATCTTTAAAATGCTGAAAAAAAAAGAAAAAAAAAACCTATGTAGCCTCTTTGTTCTTGGCTGTTAAAGGTGCAGTAAGCAATTTCTGAGAAACACTATTGAAAGTGGATCAGACCGAACACTAAAACATACTTTCAGCCAATCACCAATAAGCGGCATGTCCACTCATGATGGAGGAGGTGCCTGTGCTGCATAACATATGTGAATTTGGAGGCAGAGCCATCAAGATAAAGGTGTGATCCTTTTGGGTAGGGGCCTTTTTGTTTTAATGACTTCAAATATCAACCGTGTTATCCAGAAATCTCTTACTGCACCTTTAAAAACTTTCATGAAACCTGATATATCCAATTTTATATTGAGATTTAAAATCAGGCAATAAAAGGTTAGAAGGAAATACAAATCGCTTCGCATTGCATCTCTACCTCTTCTCATTAGTTTCCACGTCTCTGGATCTCTGCTTTGCCACAAGTTTCGCCATCCTCTTGGCTTTATTTTTCTGTCGATTGGACATGCCTGGACGAAACTCAGAATCTATGAGCTCTGCAGCTGGCTGAAGAAGAGAACACAAAACTGAACATTTTAACACGATAAGGGCCTCACCTCCACTAATGTGAGCCTTAAAACTCTAAGCTTTGAAGCGTTTGGCATTTGTAAGAGATTGCAGCACCACTCACCAAATGGTTGCGTGAGAATTGACATCCCAGGTTTTTACCAGGCTGTGATCTGTTGGTACTGGAAGCACAAGCGTCCTCCAGGTCCTCATCATTAAATAGCTCCTCTGTGTCCATGCCGATCGCAGCACCCATATCCAATCCCAACTTCTTCTGTAACTGCTTTCTCTGCCGGGCCAAACGCTCCTTGGGATCTGTCTCACCTAAAGAACAAAATGCAATCATCACTGAGAACAGCAAAACAAAAGTCATCACCAACTAGGGTGTTCTAGTTGTTAGCTTTGAGGTCCAAGTCAAAACTATCTAAAATATTATGGTTTCTCAATATCACCCATTTTAGTGTCCACCAGATCACTTGCGTAGAAAAGTAATAGCACCCCTCAATGAGGTATCATTCATGTCCACAGCACAAATGGTGCAGAACAAACACCACTTATGAATTGGAAAAATCAACGTGTGCATGGACAGATGGAGATGACAAAACACACTTCCAAGGGCTCGCAAAATCGCTAGCCCGACGTCCCGGGGCTATCTTGTTTTCCAGTCGGGCTACAAAAATGTATCACCACTCTGCCCGACGGGCTATCTTAAATGCAGATCTCCCGCGGGTCCTTAAAAACTCCTTAAGTGAGTTGTATCATACTTGAGGCCATACAAAGTTTTAAATACTTTAAATGGTATAAGAAATGTCTTAATTATAATTTCAAGAGGTCTTACAGTTGGGGGCGGAAAGACAAGAGTCGCGATACGGCTGGATTAAACTTCAAAAGGCAATGACGTCATTGAATAAATATGAGCGCTACATGTTTCAAGTCAAAAAGCGGTGCGGAAGCGGTTCTTGTTGTTTATGGTCAGATCAATGCAAATATCAACTCATGTTTTTACGCAGCAAACACAGAGTTGTAAATGAGAAAGAAGTTAATGTGCCTTCTAAAAATCTAAACAATTAAGACAGTAATATTTATCCGTTTTAAATTGACAATTTATATGCTTGATTTATCCCTTTGCATAAAAATAGTCTAAAGGCTGAAATGCTGTTGTATAAGATTTTTGTTTTTTGTGAAAACCTGTATCTGAACTGTAAATCATGTAATTTTATAGCTCAGTACTGTATGTTACCGCAGACATTGTCCAACCCCATTCATACTGTGTTCATTTTATTTGTGCAGCTCTTAAAATGGGTCATA